CGGAGAGGGGGGAGGAGGGGGAGAGGGGGGTGAGTCTAAAGGGAGGCGGACGAGAGAGGAGAGTCGAAGACACTGCGAGAAAGAGAGAATAATGCGTTAAAGCAGCAACCAGCAACTACTCTAATTGGCCACTTTGTCCATTTATTCGATTTATTTAAATTATGGGACAATTGACAGTAGGCATTCTATTTTTTAAATCTCCCCGGCCAACCGGCTGATTGGGCGAGATTGGCGTGAGACACTGGCCCCACAGATTCCCCAGTTGTGGGCTTAATCAGCTTTGATTGCTAGCATCTCTCTCTCTCTCTCTCTCTCTCTCCCGCTCTCTCCCTCTCGTCGAGAGCCCGTGTCTCTTTCTCTCGGCGTTTTCTTTCTCTTTCTCTTTCCGCGTACTCATACATCTACGGTTCTATCCTCCTCTCGCGCACCCGCGTTCTCTTTCTCCCGTTGGCTCGCTTTGCTCCCCGTTCGTCTCATCATCCCTCCCTCTCCTCTCTATCTTTCTCTCTCTTTCTGATTCTGTCACTCAGTGGTCTGTCTGTCTTTGTCTCCTTTCGATGTGTCCCGCTTACGCCTGGAACGACGTACTACGTACATTTTATTTTATTCCATTTCGCAGTAGATCCCACCACGCGTTTAATATCGTCCGGTCGGCCGTCGATTGGCCGATCCGAAATTGTGGGAATATGTCGGTGGACGAGAAAATCCGACGGAGGCCGCCTACTCTCTCTTTCTCTACGCAACGTGTCCCCCATCGTCCCGAACGCCGTGATTTCCGTCGCGGGATCTTTGCATGCTTTCGACGGATGGGTGTCGCGATTTGCCGATCGCGGACTCGCCGTCGTGACGGATTCGCCAGCGTTTCCGAGGAAGGCAGCGCGCGTATCGATGGGAAAGACGGCGGCGGGAAATGATCGATTCGCCGGAAAAAGGCAAATATTTTATTACATAATACGAGATTCGATTCTCCGCTATCGCGAGCGAGTGAATGGTACATTGAGAAACCCATTCAGTTGTTCTCAATTGTTTGAAGCAAGCTTTGGTTTTCCGAGCGATTTGATTCTCTGAAACGAAAAAGATCCGGTGAGGAAAGCCAAAGCTTTGGTCCGGAAAACGAAATTTGGATTCTCACTGCCGAGACGTTTGTTCGCCCAAATCCAGACAAGAATTTGGTTTGAGCCAACCGAATGGGTTCCTCGGGGTAATTCCACTCAACCATTCAGACGCGACTTTCGCAATGCGACGATTGAATCGGAGGCGTTCTTTATCGCGGCGCATTTTCACTCCTCCGATAATGATAAAAAAACAAGATCTGCCGGAACACTTATCTTTTCCCATTGAGCAAATCTTTAGGTTGCGTGAGTGAAGTTCAAGGGACAGAGGGCACGCGCGTTCGGCAAATATCAGAACGGGGGAATATCGGCGAGTTTCTTTTGTCAACGCGGCCGAAGCAACCCCCCTCGAGGCCCCTCGTGGGAGCCGTTGGCACTCATCCCATTTCCTTGATAATTCCCATAATGCTGTGGGCGGATATTCCAATAAAGGGGGAACAGCCCCCGGGTACAAAACACTGAAAGCGACGGACGGCCGCGATTCGTCAGGTTGCCCACGATTCACGGGTTCGCGAGGATCGAGGAACGAGACGAATAAAGGCCGTAGGGAGAGCCGACGCGGTCCGCCGGCTTACGTATAGCTTCAGATTTGTCACATGGCACGCGGGAATGCGCGATAATCACTCAAAGATGCGGGCCCGCTGCGGGCGTGCGCGGGATGCGATTTCTCCGACCTGTTCCGCGCAGCGGCCGATTATGAATCCTCGTCGGAAAATCCCACCGCTTCGCGGCAGAAACGGAAATTGATTCCCGGGAAGAAACGTTTCGCAGCTGCGCAGCTTACCGCCGCGTTAAGTACGGGACGAAAGCAGGCGGTGACTGCCGCTGCACTCGGAAACGATTTTGCTCGAACAGCAAATTTTTGTTAATTCAGTGACAGCGTAAAAATTTGTTCGAATGGCAAACAATTGGTAACAATTGGCAAAGAATATTAACCCTTTGCACTCGAGGGCTCCGGAGCGGAGCCATTTAAAATTTGTCTTCAAACTCTTCAAACTCAAATGCAAATAGCAAAAGCGGAATATCCTATACACAGTAGTTTTTGTCTTTGTCCTTATGTTATGAACTGAAAGTTATTTGCATTGTCTCCATAGCGGAGCCCTCGAGTGCAAAGGGTTAAGAATGTTGATTTTTGATTAGGCCAACTAAGTTTTGTCACTGCCGCGACGACGTTTTGCTACAACAGAAAAACTATTTGTTCCGTGTAACAAATCTTTTTGCCGTCACTATATCAATAATTTGCTGTTCCGGAAAAATCTTTTCCTCCATACGGACGGAATTTGCATTCTTACACAATGAAAAAACATTTTGTAAAAATCGGTCCTTGTTGAAATTTTTGCGTTAAATTTTTAACATACCCGTGTGTTAATTTAACATATTATGTTTATGTTATCTCAACATCTTGCGTCGATATTCAACATATGAGCACAGAACGCGTCTGATGTTCCCTTTCTGGTTAACGCGATCAGATTTTGCCCGTGTAAATATTAAAATACTACAAGTTATACTTCGGTGTCGATTAACGTATTAATTTTATGTTAATTTCTGACACAATATTTGCGTTATTGTCCATTGAATTAACACGAAAATTTGTGCAGGTCGTTTGGGACACGCGTTAAATTAAGCACGAAATGTTTTACCGTGTAGTTTGACTGAAAACTCCGGCGCAACGATGTGATAACGATCGAAATCCCCAAGATAGGCGTCAACGGTGACGAAGCCTCTCTATTCTGATCCGATGCACCATCGACACGCGTCGGTTTGCGCTTCGCAGAAAATCCGCCGGCTCGATCCTGCCGCTTCCGCGCAGGCGGCCGCGACTTTTGGCGAACGCCGAGCGCATACCGATTATTTCTATCCCGACCGGCGTTAAAGGTCAACCGTCGCCGTGTACGATCGACAACAATGTCTCCGTTCTAATCATAGGTTCGCTCAAACGGTCAAAGCGGCCGATTACAAATCACCCGGTCTAACCAGATCGGACAGAGTTTCGCATCCCGCCGCCGTTGTCTTTTCCACCTCGTCCGTTGTTCGCGCTCGGGCAGGGTCATCGAACGCGGTAGTCTCGATTCGAATCTAATTACGATCCCGATAATTCCGTCAGCGGGAGGAAATAGTAACTCACCGGAAACCTTCGGGTCAGCTGCCTCCACCTTCATCGCCGCCAGGCTCGCTATTGTCGGCGGTACCTAAAAGAAATACATTACGATGTACAATGCACTGGCGCGCTCAGGGCCGTATGTGCGAGAGCGCGGGAAGAGAGGCGAAAGGGGAGCCGTCGCCCACGCGGCAGACGCGAGATGTTTCCGTAAACTTATCGCGCATCCGAAGGACTAGCCCGTTCCGCCGACTAATCGCGTTATGGCCTGAGGCCCCGTAATGGCCGCGTAATACCCCGACGTTAACCCCGCGCCCAGCTACCAAGTAATGAAATTACCCCACGGCCGCCTTAATTTCGAACAGCTAACTCTCATCGGGACGCGGCCTTCCGGAGCGACGGATGCCGAAATGAAAATCGGGAGACCCGAAGAAAGGCGGACACTGCCCGGCCGGTCCGAGGTAAGAGCGACACTTGTGCCGGAAGCCCCATCGCGGTGCAAATTATTCGAGTGCTGTACGATTTCCGAAGCCTTAGCTGAGATCCGTGCCGCGACGTCGTTGAATTTATGAACGGGATTGCTCCATCGCGCGCTAGGCCGTCGTCCCCCTTTTTTCCTCCTCGGCGTCGTCGAAAAATTACTTTCGACACCGGCCGTTCGTCGTCAAATTCAATCAAGCGCGGCGGCCTTCTCCGAGGAAATTTCAAGAGACTCGAGGTTCATTAGAACCCGTGGAAATTGTGGACTCATCGGAGACCCCGAACTTATTTTGCATAACTCTGAATACTTGACATAATCTGAATAACATGCAAGTATTCAAGATGTGCATAAATTGATGTATGAGCATAAATATTGATATTTTGTATCGATACGAATTGAAATTTATGATACAATGATACACCGATATATTGATTAGAAATATATCGACATCGGAAAATTACTAAATTTACTTTGTCGCTTACTTTTGTCCTTGTCTGTTGGATATCACTTTGGTCGTTGAATCATGACGAAATCCTAAATTCTATATGTCAGAGAGAAATCTGAGAACGGCCGACATTTTTTAACGAGCCTCCTGAGAAAGTGCGTGTTAAACTTCATATCGCGCGGCAACGTTGTACGCCGCATGGTTCGCGCGACTTCAATAATCCTTAATCAATGAAAAGGCCATATTAATGCCCGAAGACAGTATTTATAAAAGACCTTGAAATAATTATATATTTATGAGCGCCACTCAACAACAGCCAAATCGTACCTTTGGTTTGTATCGAATCAATTGATATCTAGACTTTAACCGATATGCCGCGATATTGAAGCTCAAGTATCGACGCACAATATCGAATATCAAACGACCGTGTATTAGAAATGGGCGATACGACGAAAAATGTCGATGCGCCAAAAATACGAGACAGCATTGGGATATTTTTATTTACGATACGACGTGTCGACACGAAATATCAATATTTTCCATTGTATCGCCCGTCCCTACCGTGTATAGATATTTCAAAGTATCAATACGAATCGGAACCGTCCCTAGCAGGTACGTAAATTTCAGTTACGCCGCGACGCTTCGTCGGCGTTGCATCAGCGCGCGCGCGCGCGCGCTCCGCCGGCCGGATTCTTTGTGCCCCGGGCTGTGAATTTCATTCCGCGGCGATCGCGGCGATCGAGCGTGCCCGGAACAATCGATTAATTCCGTCGAATCTAATAGAACTCGCCTCACGTACGTGACCATCGCGTTCCGGCGATTCTGCAATCTCTAATCGAACATTTATATTCCTCGTTCATAATTATCGGCGACGTTCCGTGCCCAATATTACGGATTGCGGCGTATCGCGCATAGCAATACGATCGGCCGGACAGGGTCGTCGGGAAAACTCTCTCTCTCTTTCTCTCTCGGGAAGAGAGCAGCGGCGAAATTGAGAACGCGTCTTCGGTCGATACCGATCCGACATTCGTCTCGAATTGATGCTCTTCCCCGTCGGCAGGTCGCGAAGAAATACGCGCGAGGAGAAAACGCGACGAAACGAATGGAAAATAATGTGCACCGCGATGTACATAATGCGGACGTATGCAAGGGAGGAGGGAAGGGGGGGGGGGCACGCAGGGGAAGAAGCACAGGGGGACGAAGAAAGAGAAAAAAATCGGAATAGGACACAAGGGTGGGGCGAAGAGTGCCGACGAGGAGGAAGAAGAGAATCGAAGAGGAGCGATAGAGAGAGGAGCAGAGAGGGGTAACGATAAGAGAAAGAACGACGAGGGGGAAGGGAAAGAGGAGGGCACGCCGATGAAGGAGGAGGTGGAGGAGGATGAGCGGAGCGGGGGTAGCGCGCGCGCAGACGATAGGGACGACGGAGGGGGGAGGGGGGAGCTGTACGCGAGAGAGTATAGAGGCATATATGAGAAAACAATAGAGCTGATTTGCAAACAATAGAATAACGTTAAGACTCGAGTATTATACGCCGTTGTTACTTCTTGTGCCATAACGCCGGAGAGCATATGCCCATTAATATTCAAAAGCGAAAATAATGTAAACGACACGAGAAAAATCGGGGGAATAATTTCAATTCTCCCCGTATGGGATTCCACAGCAGCGATCCCATAGTCGGATCGTCGTCCGCGCGCGGCCTCCGTGTCTTCGCTTCGGCGTGCCACGGCGTACACGGACCTCACCTGGCGCGCTCGTCGTGAAAACGCGTCGTTGATAACGGCATTACGATAACGAGATCGAGCTCTGAATACCGTGGTCGGAGCGGCGATCGTGTAACCTCCAGATTTTTCCCTTTTCACTTTTCGCTCATCCTGATTCCGCGTGAACTTTTTACGAAGAGTCGCGGAGAGATCGCGGCTGAATGCGCGGCGAGTGAAATCCGTTAAACTCGAATTAGTTAATTAGTACCTCGGATTGGAATGCCGCGTTACTCGTTCTTAAAATGGTTACATGCAGACATGAACTAATTCTGGTTTGTGAATGTGAAGGAATATACTATACGCATACACCAATGCTGAAAAATATCTAGATTTAGCTAGAATTTCACTAGAATTTCCGTATTCAGCTCTCGAGGCGAGAAAGTGTCGCAATCTTACAGTTCGGAAAGTTACACGATTGCTGAAGTCGCTGAGTTCACGTGAAACTTCTCACGTTTCCGTCGTAGAGAAAAATTACGTGATCGCAGATGTGCGGTCGATTCGATATTTCAGAACGACTGGATTTTCTCTTATGGCAAAATTCGAAATTCTGAACTTTGATCCGCGAGTGATATTTTCATCGTCTATCCTGCGGCTAGGAGATTTCAGAGACAACCGGGACAACAGTCCGGAAATGAGAGAGACTCGATTAATAAAGAAAGGCTCGGAGGCATTCGACGCGGGAGTGATGTCTAAGCGGCGAGGTCTATATTGACTTTTATTACGACGTAACACAACCGATTGTTCGTCGCACACGATTCTGAGAACCTCTGAATTATTCCAGCACAATTAAGCTCACACAGCTCCCGGTTTGTAACTTTACGATCTGACGATGGTCAAGAGTTGTCGGAATACGACGATGACTCACCGCCGTATTGTTTTCGGACAGCTTGCGATCGTTTCTCTCTTTACGCAACACCTAGCGGCTACTCGACGCTACTTCAATTTTAACAAATCGCTCGATCATCGATCGCTCGCAACCTTGAGTAACCTCCGCGATCAGCACTACGAATTGGCATCCGTAGTACCGCGATCATTTCACCGTAACGCGACTGTCACTGTGAAGTTTCAGGAGAGTCCTTGAAAAAATGTATGGACTTCGGACTAAGTAAGGGTCTTAGCAGAACGGCTGACTTATCGGCTCAAGACAATGCTTTATGCCTTAAGTCTTTGTCTTTGAATAACGTACGAATGATGGTCTTGTGTCTCGAGTCTTAAACTAAAACAACCGTCCTGTTCAACATTTCCTGGTGGATTCCCACAGAAATCCAACGGAGCTCGTGTGAATCCACATAAATTCCTATCTGGGATTTGGGTTTTTGCAAATCCCCAGGAAACAAACGTGGAATTCTATGTGGATTTTCTATATTGATTCCCATCTGGTTTCATTCAACAGGTCGTTCCGTTTGTGACTGATAACAAACTGCTGGTGTAATAAAAAATGTAAAATAGAAGATAATTTAGGGATAATTTAGATAATTTAGATTTAAAGATTGAGGGCATGAAACATTTAAAAATACAAGTTAGCCATTCTGTTAAGAGCTTAATATGCCCGTGAGAGAGATCGTGCCGTTGATTTGATTTACAATCACGGCTGGAATACGGACGAGGAACTCCACAGGATGAAGGATTCGGTCGAAGGAGGTGTTCGTTAAAAAAGACAATAGAATGTTACTTCCAAAAAAGACTCACCCTAGCATCCTCGGGCTCCTCCCGCCTCACGTTCTGAAAGAGCACGCTGCCCATCTGAACCTGCAGATTCTGCTGCAGCAGCTGCGCCAACTGCGGATTCTGCGACAGGATCGCGGGATTCTGCTGCAGCAGTTGCGCCAGCGCCGGGTTCTGCACCAGTATTTGATTCAGGGACGAGTTCGCCATGGCGTGCAGGGAATGTTGTTGCTGCTCTTGCGACTGGTGCTGTTTTGGCTGTTGCTGTTGATGATGTTGCTGGGACTGCTGCTGCTGTTGTTGCGACTGCTGTTGCTGCTGTAGACTCGGCGAATTCGCGTTTGACGTTTGGCAGGACTGCGACAGGTTGCCGAGGGGTGGAATCGCGCGCTGAGGACTTTGTGGGGTGTGCGGAGGCGTGGGTGGACTTCCGGGGGCCATCGAGGAGGCGTCTTTCTCTTCCTTCACTTTCATCTTTCCTGCAAAGAATAAAATATCTTCCAACGTAATCCGCCGAGCACGAAATCATTTTATATTATAAAGATCGTGCTTTCTCTCTCTCTCTCTCTCTCTCTCCCTCCTTCTTTCTCTCTCAACTCTCTCGACTAGATATTGTCAAAATTCCTCTCTCCACTTTCTCATAATTGCTCAACGAAAACATATCAACTCCTATTTACGCAATTATAAAAAAACAGAAAATATAAATTATTATTTGACGATCAGCGTACTAATAAGTTTCTGTAGATTTAAGATTGAAGAACATTCTCTTTAATCTTGAGATAAATATAATGCGTAAAAATAGATTTGATAAAGTCGCGTGGAATCGATATTGCGGACTCAGCGGTTTCGCAATTAATGACGAAGCTGTTCCGCTATTGATAGCACGCTTATAATAATAATGTGATATTTTTTCTCGAGAAATCCAAGGTCCACACAATACGTATTATTGGAACTAACCCGGCAGTGGGGAGACGAACGAGCGTCGACGTATCAACGTTATCGGAGCGTTTTCATGGTTCCCCGCGGGACTTAACGAGAGCCGCGGAATCCATAACCGTGCGATCCATAAAATAGTTAACTTTGGCTGCTTATCGGGGTCGACTACGACGAACGGGGCCGACTTTTTCTAAACTCGTCGAGCCGAGGCGAGCGAAAGCAATCAAAACGCTCGCACTTGGTCGTGTGTTACTTATTGAAGAGCGAATTGCCGTCGGACCACTAGCGAAATTCGCGTTTGCCCTCGATAAGAGGAGAGCTAATAGAGCCCGGTGATATATATAATCTCCCGAGCTAAACAAACGCGAAAACTTTGCGCTCTGAAAATGCTGGGCTGTCGATAACGGGCGTTATAAAGTCACCAGCTATCGGTCAGAAATGATTGACTCGGTCAATTCATAATTACTAAGTCGGATTATCATCTTCAATTATCGCTGCGGCCGGAAATGTTTCTGTTCCGCGAGTATTGTTCCGGTTAACAAGGAGGAGAATTGATTAAGCGAAATCTCGAAGGACAGTGTGCGCCTCGTTTTATCTACTTGCTTATTTACTTGCGGATCTCTAAAGACTTTCCGAACTGCGATATTCGCCGGAATACCGGCGAGACTGATTCTCCGATTACCTGGATTTTTCCATGATTTCGGGAATATTTTACAGGGGGGCAATGGGCTTCCGGATTGGTCCCAGGGTACGAGGAATAGGCGGTGATTCCACCGGGAGTTCGTGATGCGGTTGCTATAAGGCATTAAGAGGGAGACCGCGCGGGGTAAGTTTTTTTTCTTCGGTTCAAAGTCGTGAAATTGAGACGTCTCGATTCTAAAAGCCGCGTAATCGACTGCTAGCAGGTACATCTGCCAGTTGAATTATATTCTACAGAGGGGAAAAATATAAAAAAAGCTCGTAACATCGTTGGATGCCCTATTGGCTTCCATTACTTGTCAAATTTATCGATATATTCTTTATTAAAAGATTTATTTGAATTTATGTATGAAACTATATTCCCTAATGAATTGATAAATAATCTCAGCATAATCTCTCAATTCGCCAAAATTCTCATATTAACCAATCGTGGCTTTATGAATCATTTTACACGAAAATAATTTACAAATTACTTAGATATTAATTAATTTATATGTGATTCGATATTCAAAAAAAGTGTAAGATTCCAATCTTCGGCAAAATTTTTACCTGGAGAAATATGTACACAGAGTGCAGAGTACACAGAGAAATACGTTTCTTTAGATTTAGTATACATGTTTATTTGACATGGATTTGTTTAAACAACATAATTTAATATCAAATATTATTTGGTTTGAGAGAAAGTGTTGTTTTACCAGAGTAAGACATGTTGTTTGATAGAAAACGGTATTATTTAGAGAAAATAATATTTAATTTTCAATAAAAGAAAAATTTTTTTAATTATATATCAAATATATAATATTCCGTCGAAACAAAGAAGTTTTTAAATATTTTTTACAATATCATTTCTTTCAAATAATTGATTATTTGTGACAACCATTGTAATGTTTCGATGAAAACACAAGAAATATGTTAGGTAACGTAAGGATATTTATTATTTGAAAAACCAAGCAATCCCGTGTGTTTAATCAAACCTTCGCTTGTTTGCTTCATTCCAAAAGTTCAATTCGTTTCAATGAAAGAAATTTTATTAAATCCAAAGAGACGTTTTTGCCCGTGTAACAGAAATATATAGTTACGGAGAAAAGGTTCTACTCGCGAAAATAGTTGGATGATTACGGCGGCTGAGGGTTGTTTTTGGCGGTTGCCTCCACCCTGCGGCTATAATCCGCGGTACCAGGTAGATAGGATGCGTTTCATTCGCGCAAGTAAACCCTGAGAACGTCGAGGCCCGCGATCCCGGAGATTACCTGCAGTTTTCGCTCGCAGGTGAGGAATGAGGAAACTAGAGAAGAGCATAATGCAAGGAGACTCAGGAAAGGGCTTAAAGACCCTTTGCTCGAGAGCGAGAAAGAATCAGCGGGACCCCCCGCCCAGGGGTGCATCGGGCTTCGCCGAAGGTTAGATCGATGATGTCTGGTAAAATTACGAAACCCCTTGGATCTCTTTTTTTTCCCCCGATTTATCCTTCCTCCGTTTCTCGCGGTTCGGCTCTCCTTTCGCTCTTTCACGCGCTTTCCGCTGCTCTCTTCCTTTTCTTTTTTTCGTCGCGCGAATGGAGCGTCCTATATCGCGATGGATGGCGGTCGTTCGCCATCGTTCGCGAAACGGCCTACGGCGGTTTCGTCACTCGATGAAAAATGACTGTCCCGTCATAACGCGGACTCCCCCGAAGGACGGAAAAATGATGCGCGCTGTGGGAAAGTTCTCGCACGGAATATGTGCCTACGGCGTGTTCCCCGAGCGCAATTTCGATTCCGCACCTTCCGAGTGTCCCGACTGAACATCAAGAATCTCGTATGATTAATGCAGAATTTTATGATTAATAAACGGCATAATGCGCGGAGAAGGGGCGCGGCAAATAGCGCAAAACGAGCTCTCGGCGCTCGTTCCGCTATTAAATGAATTCTCATCCTCGTGAGGGAGAGATTCCTGAAGAATCGCATGCGTACACGCGTCTCGCTGTATCTCGCTCGCGGCCAGGTCCTTAAATCGACTCGATTTTTAAGGCCCGGTCCGGAGAAGGTACCGCGCCGCGGGGATCCTGTGTTTCTCTTCCTCTGGAGACGTTCTTCCTTTCGTCTCTGCTCCAAATCGCCTCGCCACAGCGGCGAGTCATATTCCATCGATACACAATCGCGGCAGAAAAACGCATTACGATGAGTCATCCGGCCGAGATTCCTCATTTATAACGCGTCAGGCGAAATGTAGCGTACTTTGATAAGTAAACGAGAACGCATCCGTTGCCCGAAGGCAATCGGCACAATTATTCACGAAGTGGGAATCGATTATTATTATTGAGAAAAAGTATCTCTTCCAAGAAAGTTCACCTTGGAAGCGCGCGCGAAGACACAATGTTAAATGTTCCCCTTTCAAAGTTCAAAGTTCTTCTTTCACGAAGAAAGGCATGGAACTCGACATCGGAAATTTCAGCTAAACAATAAAATGTCCACGATCGAAAATGTTTACAACAGGATTTGATTGATATATTTCACAAGTAATTGCCTATTTTCAGGGCCATTGTTATTAAGCATTTATTTGTATTTCTATAATCCAATGTTTTTATAATATATCAATTCATTAATCTCGTCGATATATTGTATCGAGGGGAGAATCTCCAGTTGTTAATAACTGAAATAAAATGAAGCGGAACGTGGGAATATAAAATATTTTCCAGATTCCGGCGAGACTCGCAAGACCTCGAGGTTACTCGGAAATTCGCGTCCGTTATCGGCGTATCGGCGCCACGAACTCAACGGAATCCCCGGATAATAAAATAATCGACATCACTCGGATACGCTCGGTGCTCAAATTAGAGACAGCGACTGACATCCGACCCTCTAACCTCGGAAGTCGCGCGCCTAACGGGGGAAGAAAGGAGGAAGGGCGCCGAGACCTCGAGCGACGTGTCCTCGAGCCCATTTTTACGAGATACTTAAACCTTTAAACGGGCGCACCGCTCAGGTCAAATCGGAGAGAGGACGCGTTCTCGGATTTCAAATTTCGCAGGGAAATCGGTTAACCCCCGAGATCGACTGCGACCGCTCGGTCTTAGCGAGGGGTGGCCGCGATTTTTCTCAGGGGTTAAATCGACCGTGCTCCTCGGTGAGAGAGTTTCGCGCTTTTTTTTTTCGCCGACCCTCCACGAGGAGTCGCGCGCAGGTACGTGTCGGTCTACCTGCACGAGTCCGTCCCTCCGGGAAAGCCCGAAAACCGGGGTATCGCTGGGGTGGAAACAAGGCGAGACGGACGGGGGAAAAAAAGCGAAAGGAAACCGGGAGATTACGTGAAGTCTCGCGGGAGAAATACACACGCGAAGGGACTCACCTCGCGCGCACCTTTCCGTATCGTTTTTATCTCGACGGCGCCTGCGGGCCCTGCTCGCCCTTCGGCGTCCGGGCCGCGCGAGGGTAACGAAACAGGGGTAAAAGTGAGTTAATAGTCGGTAAAACGCCGTTCTCCCTGTGACCCGCAGGGGTTACGTGCGCGCCGAGGGTGAGCCGCGCTTCTCTCTCTCTCTCTCTCGCTTCCATTCTCACCCCGCGGATGGATAGTCCTCCCTGCTCGCGGGAGAATCGGAAGGGTCGAAAGGTGGCCGCGCGCTCTTCCGCGATGCTGCGTCTCGGCAAAGAGGAAAACCGAGACGGCAGACTCCTTTCGTCCAGAAATCCGAGTAATCGTCGTCGCCCGCTTCCTGCAGGAGATTCGTTCTCTCTGTCTCTCTCTCTCTTCCGCTCCACTCGTTCTCGAATTTCCGCGTGAGAACGCGGCGCGAACGGATCGGCGGCGAATGCGTGGCACGCAGTGTACGATAAGAAGAAAAGAAGTGTGCGTGTGTAATACA